CTGGAAACGTTCTTCCTGAGCAGGCGATCTGGCTCCTGTTCCTTTTAAATGGGTAACAGTCACTAGCAGAGGGCTAATCTGGTTTCCCAACAGAGTGCTCCTTCCCCTATCTGCCCAGGGGGTGCAGATGTACTCACTCAGATCCTCTCCTGTACCACTTGCAGAATGGCTGCTGCTACCAGGCCTATCAGCTGGGCCACTCCTTCCCTGCTATATAGGTGGTCCTCACTGGGGGTCAGTGAGTCCTGAGCTTTCCTCCTTTCCAGCTCCAGACTCAAAGGCAGACCCTGTCCCACTAGGCCTCCTGGCAGCCTTCTTCCTCCAGCCTCACGTCTTCATGCTCCACACTTCTCTCCCACCACTGCAGTCCTGCTACTGAGCATGCTTTCCCACTTTTAAGCAAGTCTCGGCACCTTGCCAAGCCTCCTGTTGGTGATTGGCTGAGGTCCCTCAAGATTTTAGTCACCCACTCCTCAGATCCACCCACTGCCTCCAAGGCCTTCCTCCGAAAGCATCAGAGCAGGGGGAAATTCCAGAGGGGCTGGCCTGTAAAATCTCTCAGTTCTGACCAGAATTTGACCCCTCTGGCTATCTCACCTGAGCTTCTAACCAGCTCCTCATTAACCTTTAGGGTCTAGCTCCCCCTAGCTAAACTAGGAGGGTGCTACAGAGAATTTGCCTGGTTTGTGCCAGTGCACAGGAGCTAGGGGTTGATGAAGATTTTGTATTACAGGCTAAAGTATACAGAATATTTTAGGCTCCAATGGTAGGCCTTTCATGGCTGTTTGGTTTTGTTTGGCTTTTCTTGTGAGACTTTGGCTTTCTTTCTGCCAATGTCTGCAATCACTTAGTATTGTTTGTACCATTGTCTGTGTTCCCATTGCATATATTTTCCATACTTTTCTGTTCCCCTGGCACTGTTACAAAAATTTAGGTGGGGGTGAAATTACCAATAAAGACATAAGCAGCAACAAATAATCTTTTTTTTCGATTGCAGAAGTTTCAAAAAAATTTTGGTGTTTTTTGTTAGTGTTGTTCATGTCCCTACTGAGATGTGTTTTGGTTTTACTGGAACTGTGGAAAATTTTATCAGAGGGGACAAAACTTATGAAGGATTTGCTTTGGTGTGCTGTAACAGCTAAATTCAGTCAAGCATTGATACTCCAAATGTTTATTTTAATAGTTTTGTCAACTTTATGAATGTTCACTCTTCCCATTACAACATCTTAAAAAGATAATGGGCAAGAGAGAAATTTCTTTGTTATATACCCTAAAGGTTTATTGTGAAACACTGTTTTATGGTGAATTTTTTTTAACCAAGAAATGGCTCAAACTAGGCAAGCTTTAGGCAGAACAACATTTTTTTGCACATTCGGTTAAGGTTTTTAAGTAGTGGAGCTTTGATCCTCTAAATAATACCTGACACACTAGACAAATTTGTGGATATCCTTAAAGCAAGTGCACGGCTAATAGCAGCCTCTATACACCTGTAAAAACAGCAACCCAATGCCCCTAAAACCGTGGATAAGTAATGTGGGGCTTCATGTGAAATTTAGCTGTTCCCCACTGACCCTGAACTAGTAAATAGTTCTTATGAACACTCAATCCAGAGAAAGAAGCCTGCACAATGGCATATGTCATTGGCTTGATGAGTTTTATTTAATGCAGAGTATTACAGGCACAAATAAGTCAACAGGTTTCAGCCATACAGGCCTTATTCATTTATAGTAAACAGTCCTTACCTATAGAATATGAAAGGAAAGAAAAAGGGAACATATTGATTTTGTCTTGAAAGAAAGTATGATGTTTGGATGTTATTTTACAATTATAAAAGTAAGTTAATCCCAGAAAATTCTAAAATAATGGGTTTGTTCAGCAACCAACAAGCAATATAAGGCACAAGCATGATGTAAATAGTGCAGTTTCTTCAACTAATAATTATAGCAATGAAAACTCCTTGCTGATTACAAGCTTTGTAAAATTTCAGTTTTACATGGGTATACCTATGTTAACCATAAGCTTTCTCAGTTGACTGGATATAAAAAAACAAAATATTAAAGTGGAACTATACTCACCTTGGACCCAGCCCTGCAATGTCACGGAGCTCCCTGCCAGTCACTGACATCCTTGGGCAGCTGACGTCCGGGTCTCGATCGCTGGCCACTCTCATTGGAGACATCACTCCTGCACATGTGCGAAAGTGAGGTCAGATCCAGCATTACCAAATTTCTACAATGAGCTGCTCATGGGCAACTCACTGTACAGGGGCAGACAGGTAGGTAAGTAACTTTAATGCAGAAGAGATGAAGCATATCTCTTCTGCATTAAAAATCCTGCCTGTTCACCCTTTTTTTTTTTTTAGCTAACATTCCACTTTAAGATGCAGTATACCATGCTGGCCAAAAAATAAAATACATTTCAGTCCAAACCATAATATAGAAGAAAAGTACTATGCAATCCTTTTAAATAACCTTGAAAGTGTTAGCAGACTATGGTTCTATCTATTTTCTTTATCTACATCTAGAGTAAAAGCATTTTATACATAATTAGTATTTTCCAGATTTTGTTTTAAAAATTTTTTGGAAATGTTATTCTGAAGCTTTGAGGGAGGCAAGCATATATCCTGTAAGTTACACATATAGATATACTGAAAGAAAGTGCAGGAATTCAGTTCTCTCAGCTGTTTATTGTGAGAACTTCTTTTTTTCACAGAATTCAAGTCTATAGCTGATCTTGGCTATATTTTAAAAACTGTTTATACAGTCTAACTATAAAAGCCATACAAGTTTATTACTGTTATCACATAAAAACAGTATCTGCTGATTATCTGTTTTGTCAGTTTTTCTTCCATAAGGAAAAGATAATGTACTGTACTGTATTTCAGTTCAAATTGTAAAGATTTGGTTTGCTTGCAACATGAGAGATAGTTAGGGCATGCAGGTTACATTTGTTTTCCTCTAAAAAAAAACTAGTGTAGTTCTGTTTTAGCAATAGAAATTGTAGAAAATTGAAAAATAAATTACCAAATGTGACAGTGTTATAGTAATTTATAGATGCTTATTTTAATGTGACTTGTACAATTAAATATAAACCTAACTCATAACATCATCCAAACCTAAAAGTTGCAAATGGTCCTACATCCTTCTGGGACCTATGATGCTGGGATTACCTAGGCGATACCTAGGTACCTGTCAAAACTTGGTAGCCCCCCCTCAAAAAAAAATAATATGCCAAATATGGTAGAGGAAGTAGTAGAGGACTTAAAGTGGAACTTCCCCTTTTGAGTGAAGTTCCACTTTAATATCTGGTTGTACAGTTTCTGTATTATCTCCTTTTTAGATGTGCCAAAATTATGCAATGTGAGGGCCTACCAAAAACAGTTGACATCCAAACAAGCAGGTCTTTGCAAACATAGTTGTTGGTAGATCTAAAGAAGGCTTTACCATACCAAAGTCATTTACGGATTTGGGTTTGGGTTCAACATGAGTCCCAGGCTGCTCGCAGTTTAGCAAATGGGTGATTACATTGATTACATATTTGGCCATTTCTCCTGCCCCAACACCTGGCAAATGTTTTACATAATCATCAGCCAAAAGTCTGTCATTTATGGCCCAAGTGGCCTTTCTTTGTAAAAAAATGTCCTAAGTCACCCAGGTGACTTTTTTTGCTTGCTTCTTTTAGGGTCAACACACATTGCTATCATCAAAGTTTACTATCCCTTTAGGGTCCATCAAAAATGTATAAAAAAAACCTTACACAGGCACTTAGTTGTGCTGGCCAAGAAAAGGGGGACCAGCAAGAGTGTGCTTTCCCCTACTGCAAGGAGGTGGCAAAGCCTGGCAGATCTTGTTTGAACACCAATATACTTCCCAATGTAGAGGCAGAAAAAAATCTTATTGTTGCACAAAAATATTTTTCTCTTTGAAAAAAAAAACTAATGTAGAAGTATTCATGTGACAATTCCAAAAGCAGAACACATGCATGCACATTTTTTTTCTTCATGAAAAAATCACAAGAAAGTTTGTAGACCATATAAAAGTAAATTATCCAAACTTAGAAACTCAACAGATATGCAAAAATTCAACAATATGATATGGAAAGTCATAACACCTTTCATGCATCACATCTAGAGTATTTTTATTTATTCAAGTGTCACTCTCTATGCATTATCACTAGTTTTGTTACTTAGCAACCAGATATATAGCTGAGTTCTGCAAATCCATGTAAAGCAGAGTCTTAAATTCAGTTACTTACAAACTACAGTTTTAATAATGGCTCTACAAGTCTTTACTGAATTCTGAATTTGTTTTGCAAAAACGCCTTTATGTTCGCTATGTTCTAATTAGCATCTTAAACTGTTGTTTTCTTGTTATGCTATAGATGGTAGTAATAGTTAGACCCTTTGACTATATCAGGTGAACACATCAGGTAAACTCTGTCTTCACAGATAATTAATATTTAATAGCAGTTGGTAATCATGTCCATACAGATTTTTTTTGCACTGTGAAATTCCTTTTGGTATACATGTGAACTCTTCATTCATTTCATTGTAATGTCAGATACTTTTGCATCTCCTTGTTCTCTGCAGAAATGGAGCATCCATAGGGAAGGTTGGTTACCTTTAAAAGTAAAGCTTTAGGCTTCATGTACATGAGCAGCTCCTAAACTCGAGTTTGGGAGCTTTTGGCATTTTTTTTACCAAAGCTCCTAAACTCAACTCCATAAAAGCCTGTGTGTCCATGTACACATAGGCTTTTAGCAGGGTTTAGGAGCCAGCGTGTTTAGGTGAGGTTAAACCTGCCTTTCCTGAGCGTGGAAGAATCATCTTCAGGATAGGAACGTTTTGACTGCCGACAGCGGGAAACCACAAAATGCGGCAAAATCACGGTTGCCGTGTTTTGCCGCGTTTTATGTTTTTCCGTGGCCGGCTGTCAGAGTTCACTACATGTAATATCTATGCATATAAATGATGCAGAGTGTTTGTGTATGTGTGTATATGTATTATATACAGGGGCGGACTGACCATTTGGTAACTGCCCGAGGGCCCTGGGCCTGTAGGGGGCCCCATGAGATGCCCCTGGTACCTTTTTCATAGGCTTTTTGGAGTTTGGGCAAGGACACAGGGGCCCCATGATCCCCTATTTCCCGGGGGCCCCATGAGTTGTCAGTCCGCCCCTGATTATACACAAAATGATCCTAAGAAGGATTTCCAAAATCCAATCAAATATGACAGGTCAGTTAAGCTTTTAGTAAAGGCCATGGGAGTTTAAGGTAATTTATATTACAATGCAAAAATATATTATAGTATACGCTCACTGTAGATGTGCAACATTTATATTTTGCAGTTTTGTATTAATAGTAAGGAACTTGCTGGCTTAGTGACAAAGAAGCTTAATTTATTAAAGTTTGTCAGGGTGTAACTAGAGATCATGGGATTCCACTTTAAGATTTTGATAGGACCCATGACGACATCACTACTGTCATTAGTTCTAACACAAAATATGTCTGAATCAAGAACAGGTAGAAGGATAGTTGTCATCATAGTCAGCACATAACTAGGGACCAGTGCTGCAGATAGATGTGGCCAGGGAAGGGGGGGGTATGATTAGTTCATGAAATTAACTTTTAACATTTATTTTCCAGTTAGTTCCCCAAGCTTTTTTTTAGCTTCTCAGATTTCAGGGCCAAACCCTTCCACCATCACAGCAAGTGCTGAAAAGTAGCAGTCAATACAGAGAAAAAGTGGCAATAGTAATGACTGTTACAATATTTTTATACTTTGACATCATTCTTAGCACTTTTGTATTCTTAACACAATTATGCTAGAACACTAATTGAAGAACTACAAACCGCTCCCAGTTTTTAGCTGAGGAGACACACTGGTATATTTTTTAGAGTCTGAGGAAGACTGAATTAGGTATACAGGGTTAATTTCAGTGATGGCCAAGATGTCCAGAAGCTTTGAGGTCAAAACAGCTAAGTTCTAAACGGATTCTGCCTACTGCACAGCCTGCAAATGTGATCTGTGACAAATGGCCATGATGCTGAAATTTCCTGCTGTACATCTGATGTTCAGTCTTCTTGACTGGAAATGTGAAAATGTCATGGTGGGTACTTAATAAAGCTGGGTAAATATGGGCTGCAAATCATCTGAAAGTGGCCGATTCGACAGGAACCAGTTGACTTTCAGCCAGTTTGTACAGCTTTATGTCAACTAAGCATGCTAGAAAACCAGCATCCAATCTGCGCTGGCAGCCAATAGCTGCGAGCATTGACCAATGTGTTCTGAATGGGGGGGAGCAGTCTTTCTATCAGAACACAACAACACAGTGGTGGAGATTGCTGTACAAATATTGCTTTTGTTAGTACAGGGGTCCGTCAGTTTTCTTTTTGTTCAGCCTGCTGGGTTGAAAAAAAAAACATTGTGTGTACCAGGCTTAACGGTAGTCTCTACAATGATACAGTACCAAATTTGTGTTGTCTTCAGATGCACACATTTATTACATTTAAATTGCCTCAACAGTCTCTGAAATGGGGTCCCCTTCCACCCCAGGCCCCATAACAGCAGTGTGAGCTACTATGGCTTTTGTTACACCATTGTTGTCTATATGATGAGTCCTCTAAGGCTAGGTCCACACAGTTACCTGAGCCCCATTAGGATTTTTGCAGCATCATTGCAACCACAGCAGATTCAAACTGAGAAGCAAGTTAGCCCATGAGCAGTGCTCCTGTAATATATATTGATGTTTAACTGTTTACTGAATATACTGCAAAAATTTGAATAGCGTTACATTCTATTCAGAAGATTGCCACTGTGTTGGGAAATGCCAGAAGCACACAGAAAGAGGCTGGCTATTATAGCTACCTAAAGTTGGTAACAGTTAGACCCCATGTACACAGGACACTTCTGAACGATGGAAACTGACTGCTGGAAAACGTAGATTATAAAACGTCTGTTTAGCTTTGTTTGCATACCGCGTTTATGCATGTTTATGAGTGTTTGCGTTTAGAAGCATTTTTTTTAAGATAACCTCAGGAGACCTTCCAAAATGCCCAGAAAGCACCGAAAAACAGTAAAAAATTAACTATTTCAGACATTTTGAGAGGAATTGAGAGAGCAGAAGCAGAGAGAGCAGTACTTGTTGAGATTAGCTGTCTTTTTTTTTTTTCTTGTGGTGTTTGCATGCATTCCAGCTCATTTCTGTGCAGAAATTATTGCAGCAGTGTCTATATTTTTTTCATGCAAAACATCAAAGCATGGTGTGCCAGGTCCATTTGAGTACCTGGAAAACACTTTGCATGCATTTTTCATGATGAAAAAAGGCTTTGGACATCATCTGGAAATGGAAGAGTTAAAAAAAATGTTCAAATGCAAACGCCTATAAACGCGGTTAGCTGCGTTTACACGAGTTTACAAGTGTTTTGTGTTTGAAACGGTAATAAAATCTACTGCTGAATGCAAGTTTTCTGCGTTCTAAAAAAAAAAACGTAAACTCAACTGCCTGTAGATGAAGATGTGTACATGGACACATAGGAAACATTAAGGTGAGTTCAGAGGCTGCTGAAAAAAAACGCTGAACAGCTCCTAAACGTGAATTTATCAGCTGCAGTGTACATGAGCCCGTAGTCATGTATACAATTTGAAACACCTGAATGGTACATAATTTACTTTGTTATAGAAGCAACATTATTTTTGTGGTACATAAATAAAAGTAATGTTTTTGACTTTTACTCGTGTATGTTTTGTCTTTTTTAAACAACTTATCAGTTATTTAACTATATAAATTTAACTATAATTATAACTATAATTGTTACCATTCCAGTGCAGCAAGGGTAAAGGGCATGGCATATTTTGTTAACAGGATTCAGACTAATGTGTCCCAGTTAGCACTTAGATTTCTATCAAATTCCAAAAAATATATGGCTATTGAAGAATATCAGAGCGGGACTTAAGTAGTTGGCATGACATTGGATTGTACAATCTATCTACAATCTCAGTAGATTTATGAAAAATGTTGTGGACTTATCTAAGCAATCCAATCACTTTATCTCCTTTTTAGTGGGGCTCACATATAGCTTCTGGCAAATGTAAAGAAGATTGTACTAATTATTGTAAACTGGACCACCAAATTTAGGCAGGGGTCAACTGAACCATAACTCAAATAAGTAATTGCGCTCAGTAATTTAGGAACTATGGGCATTGCAGTAGTCAGTGGTAGAATGGCATTACATATGTCTATTGCATTGGGATCCTCTTCAGTTTACTTTTATATATTTCAGGAAATATATACTCTGACTCTCCCACAATTTACATGTTTTCTAGGTAATATTTTGCTACAATTGAAAAAAAAGGATTGTCTTTTACTTAAAAACCCATTCAGCACTTTCCTGTAATCTTATTTTATTGTTATTTATTTCAGGTACTTATATAGCGCTGTCAATTTACACAGCACTTCACATATATATTGTACATTCCCATCAGTCCCTAACCCTCAAGGGCAGTACAATCTAAGGCCCCTAACTTACATTCATACATACACATACTAGGGCCAATTTAGACAGAATCCAATTAACCTATCAGCATGTCTTTAGAGTGTGGGAGGAAACTGGGAGTGGGAGGAAACCCACGCAGGCACAGGGAGAACATGCAAACTCCAGGCAGGTGGTGCTGTGGTTGGGATTTGAACCAGGTGGAAGTGCTAACCATTTAGCCACTGCGCTGCCCAATGTAGTATGTCAGCTTCTCCAACAGTATGGCTATCTCTCTATCAGGTAAAATGAGAGGGTTAAGGTTTGGATTAATTCATGTTTTTTGCCTAACTGAACAAAACTTTTTTTTTCCTTTCTGGTATATTGGTAAGTGAATGGGAGTCACAGAGTTAGGATGCAAGCTGTAAACTAGTTAGGGTCACTTAAAAAAAAAGGAAAGGAAAGAAAATAAATTAGCACAACAATGTAATCTAAAAAAAACAAGTATGATCTCATAGATATTATTTTCTTGTCAAATAAAGGTGAAGTTTAAGCTCTGCTTGAGTGTTTTATAAGATTTGTCTCCATCTTTTTTTGGCTGTTGCCATGACAATGCTCAGAAATGAGGTTGTGGAAGTTAGGTGTGACAGGTACAGTAGTTGTCCAGGAAAGACAGATATTTTGGCATAAAGAAAACTGAAGAGATTCCAATACATTTTGTTGAGTGCCTTGAGGCTGTTCAATTAATTACCAATATTTTCTGTATTTTTTTCTTTAACTTAGTATATTTGTCCATTCTACATCACAGACCATCATTACAAGTGACACACAGATCTTAATGGATTATTGGTTTCAACATTTGCCATGTGGCCATATCAAGCCAATGGCATTAGGCGTATCCATGCCCCTTTGTGGGGTAAGGAGGGCCCCAGCTGTAGTTGATTGGGCCAGAAATGACTGTTTCATTCTGGGCGTGGTTAAACATGGATTCTGACCAAACCCAAGCTCATCCCTATTTATAACAAAGAAAGAGCTGTTTTGTAGTCACCAGAAATAACTGAACAATGTAATTGATAAGAATACTACAGAGGCAGGGAGCACAGGAATTTATCAGCTCACAAGATTTCTAGCAAGACCAACGAGAATTTTTTTGCACTTATCAAGCAGATATAAAAATGCCGTCAGCATTTTTTTCTTTAAGAAGGCATGTACTGCATGCTGGCAAAAGTCATCTCAATATGCAGAAAAAAGTCCACTTTTCTAAGGCTGCTGTCTGTCAGCATTGCTACAATTGTTTGTGTGTGTGTGTAAAATATATAATATATATATATATATATATATATATTTTTTTTTTTATAAGTAAAACAAATACGTGCTATAAGATAGAAATCATAAACCCACCAAGAATGGTAAGATCATAAATGCTGCATCAGCATATGTTCTTTAAGTGTACAAGAAGACAGGATTTGTACTTGAAAATATGTTATGACATTCACATCCCTCAGTTTACAGGGAGGGGTTTTAGGCAAGCAAGCCACATCTCTACATGAAGCTTGATGACGAGGAGCAAAGCCTATATGTATTCAGATAACAAAGCACAATATGATAGGGGATATAATGCATGTGTCAGAGAGAAAAACGTATGTCTGTGCTCATGAGAGTGAAACCAAGGCAGTATAACATTTGTGTGAGGCAGTCAGAGGAAAAGAGAAGCGGAAAATGCCAGA